CGTGCCTCGTCCTCCCCACGGCGCCAGTAAATTGCCTTTCTCTCCGCCGCCAAAAGTTTGACGGGGATGACTCCAGCAATCACCAGGACGGCGGGCTCGGACACTGTTCGGTAGGCAGATGCTACCCTCAGTGCTGCCTGACGCTGCACTCGGGCGAGCCGCATCCTGTATGCCTCCTTATTTAGTGCGTCTGCCCACACCTCCGCACCGTACAAGAGTACGGACTGGACCGAAGACATTAACAGCCTTCTACGACTGGACCGAGGCCCTCCGACATTGGCCATCAACCGGCTAAGAGAATAAACCATCCTAGCGGCCTTGTCCGCTGTACGGAAGATCTGATCCCGCCAGCTAAGCTTGCTGTCTACCATGACCCCAAGATACTTGGCAGAACGAACAGTTTGAACCTCGACGGCTCCCACCCTCAACGGCACGATGGTGTCAATCCGTTTTTTTGTCAAAATCACGATCTCGGTTTTGCTCAGAGCAAGCGAGAGACCGTGGTCTGCCATCCATGCGTTTATGGTACGCATAACTCGGTTTAGCTTTAGCTGAGCCAGCTCAACGCTACGTGCAGCTATCAAAGCTGCAACGTCGTCTGCGTACCCAACCAAGACTGTTTCCTCAGGCATTTCAGACCTCAGAAGGCTGTCATAAGCGACGTTCCAGAGGTCTGGGCCGAGTATGGAACCTTGGGCAGCACCAGAAGTGACACTCATCGTCCGCGGGCCCTCCGCAGTGTCATACGTTAGGAGGCGAAACCGGAGATAATCCTCTATGATGCGCATGAGGTATGCCGGCACGTGGAAGGTGTTCTCCAGAGCATCCAGCATATCGCACCACCTCGCCGAATTAAATGCATTTCGCACATCGAGCGTTACGAGCAGCACAACCCTGCGAGAGAAGTGGGTAAAATCCTCAGCTCTAATCACAGCTTGCTTCACCTCCTCAATCGCATCAAACGTTGATCGCCCCATCCTGAATCCATACTGACGAGGGGAGAGGTCCCCCGCAGCGACAACGGCTGAATTTAGCCGGGAACGGATCAATTTCTCGAGGACTTTGCCAGCCGTATCCAACATACACAGAGGTCTGTAAGAGGATGGCAGATCTGGGTCTCCCTTGCCCTTCCCAACAAGCACAAACCTAGCTGTCTTCCAGCACAAGGGGAAAACCCCTTCAACCAGGCAGGCGTTATACATGCTCAAAAGGATCAAGGGGTTGGTAGTCAAAACCTTCTTGAGGACTTCACCGGGCACCCCATCGGGACCAGGAGCCTTGTTGTTCTTCAGGGATATGACGGCCGCCACCAGCTCTTCAGGGCTGAAAAGTGGGACGTCGTCCACCCTTCCATAATCCCGCAGTGGGCGCAACGCGTGAGCCGGGAAAAGGGACTCGACTATCCTCTCCATAGTGACCCTGTCCATGACGGAAGGTGGAGAGCGGGTTACAAGTTTGTAACCCAGGCCCCACGGGTTGGAATCATCATCGTCCCTTAATTTATCCCAGCAACTGCGTTTACTCCGATTGATGGCTCGACGAAGATACCTCCTAGCCACCCTATAAGCATCCGACTTCCGCCGTCTGTCTAGGGGTTCTCTAGCCCTGGTAGCAAGTCTTCTGGCCCTCAATGCCAAAAATTGTAGTTAATAACAACATAATTCAAAATAAAGACCACATTAAATTCTTGGGATTAGAAATTGATGAAAATTTGAAGTGGAATCATCATATTGATCAGTTACTTTCTAAAATTTCATCTGGCCTTTATGCGCTAACAAGATTAAAACCCCTATGTGAAAAGGAAACTTTAAAAATTATATATTTTTCGTACATACATTCAATCATATCATTTGGAGTTTCACTTTATGGTGCAGCAAAAAAGAAAAAATTAAAATCAATTCTAAAAAAGCAAAAGAAAGCTATTAGAATTTTGTGCAATTTAAAACGCAGAACTTCAGTCAAAGAATATTTTAAAACTGAGAATATTATGACTGTTTATGGAATGTATGTCTATGAAACAGTATTATCAGTAAAAGACAGATTTAATGAATTACAACTTATTGGAGACTATCACAATTACTTCACTAGAAATCGAGAAAACCTGGCCACAAGCTCACATACTCTGCAACTTTTTACGAAGACGCCTAAATATGCCGGTTCCAAATTTTATAATAAACTTCCTAAAGAAATCAAATTAGAAAATTCCAAAAATAAATTTAAATCTAAATTGAAAAAGTTTCTTATCAACAAGGCTATGTACTCCTTTGAAGAGTTTTAGTTCTTTAAGTTATTAATTGCTCTGTTTCATATCAATTGAAACTTTTGGTTTTAAAATAATTTTATCTATATTTTTAATTTTGATATTTTCATGTATAAACTTTCATATTGCACTGCTTGTTTTAATTTATTTGATCTGAAAAGCTATTAATATTGATGGTATGTTGTTATGCCATGCATGATAATGATGAGTATTTTAGTTAGTTAGTTTTATTAAATTACTCTTGACGCCATTCCTGTATCTATGTATTGTACTTTAATGAATAAAGTTATATGAAATGAAATGAACTGCGAGAGGCAATGATGATGTCTACACAGCCGCGGAAGATTTTCGTGATTTACCGTGACAGCAAAAGACGACGATGATGATTTCTACACGGCCGGGTGATATGCTCATGATTTTGCCGTGATTGCGGCCGACGACGATGACGTTTCAGTGACCGTGGGAAACGACGATGATGTTTACACTGTCGCGGGAAATATTCATTATTTTGCCGAGATCGTGGACGACGACGATGACGTTTTCGTGACCTCGAGAGACGACGATGATGTAGACACGGCCGCGGGAAATATTCATGATTTTGCCGAGATCGTGGACGACGACGATGACGTTTCCATGACTGCGGGTAGCAATGATGATGTCTACACGGCCGGGGAAGATATTAGTGATTTGCCGTGACCGCGAAGGACGACGATGATTATGTCTACACGGCCGCATATGTTCATGATTTTGCCGCGATCGCGGATGACGACGACGACGTTAACGTGACCGCGGGACCAACAATGATGTTAACACTGCCGCGGGAAAAATTTGTGATTTTGCCGAGATCGCGGACGACAAAAATGACGTTCCCGTGACCGCGGGAGTCAATGATGGTGTCTACACGGCCTCGGAACATTTTCGTTATTTTGCCGCGGTCGCGGATGACGATGATTATGTTTCCGTGATCGCGAGAGACGGCGATAATGTATACATACCGGGAGATGTCCAGGATTTTTCTATGATAACGTAAGACTGTGATTACTAACACTAGCTCACTGGACTTGAAACAAATTTGATGTATTTTGTATACTTAAGCTGCAAGTCTTAAATTGATTATAGTTTATGTGGAACCAAACAGATACGCGGGAACCTGGAAAAACTTTGAAAAACCAGGAAAAAACCTGGAATTTCACTTTAATAAAATAGTATACACCCTGTATTCCCAAGGAAAGTTCAATTCACCCTATGCAAGTTTTCTATGTCCAAACACATAATTTTAGTTTTCTACGTCCAAATGCTTCTAATTGGGTTGTTTGTCAACTGGCGGTGGACGATAATTGTGCTTTACACTCTAAAGAAATGTAATCAATGAACTCGATTCATATTTTGTGGTTGTGTCAATTAGTTCATATTGTTTCCATTAATGTTTTTTTAAGGCAATCAAAATTACAAGCACTACGTGAGACAATGTTTTTACGACAAAAAATATGTTGGTAATCCTGTTTTCTTTAGTTCATTGCCTATCAGCTGATATGCATTGTTGCATAAACGTTTAGTGTTAATGGGAATGTATTGTAATTAAGACTCAACTTATGAGATTCCCCCAAGCTCAAAGGGAGAATGTATTGTAGGTCTACTTTTTTCAGCAGATCTGGGTTTCTTAAATTTTTGACAAGTCCATAAATATTTAATTTATTAGATTATATTTAGAGGTGAGTCGGTGTCTCAGTTGGTAGCATCACGGACTTTGGGCACAAGGCAGCGATGTCGTGGGTTCGGATCCTGGACATTGCCACAAATATTTGATCAGTACAGTTAACCTTCGTACTGTACCGACTCACCCCTTGCTTTTTTGGATACGTTCCACGCAGAGATCTGTAGTCTATGTGGACGGGCAAATGCAAGGATAAAAGAGGCCGCCAACCTCTTTAAAAAAAAAGATACTAAGGGTTTGTGGTACAGAAAACTTAATGTCAGTACGGTTCGGTACGGTACAATGTTTTTCCTTGGTTCTCCGTTCAAAATCGGTTCGCTACTCGGCTACCAATATTTTTCCAGTTTTCTTCTAAGAATTGTATTTAAACCAATATTTTAAATTTTACGTTTACATTACTATGAAAATGGATAATGTTGTACATTCATGGTTTTCTTACAACAATGACAGTACCACACATCATTAAAACCTTTACTCCTAACAGGATTGTGTCAAGAAAAAATCACAGTTAAGATGGCTTTCTCAAACAAATTACAATTGAGGCACTTTTTATTGACAAAACCAACTCATATGTTGGTATACCTGTTTTTTTTTTTTTTGTTTTTTTTTGTTTTTTTTTTTTTTACTACGCCAACGCATTTTTAGCGTTTTCAAAGGGAAAAACGGACCTGTTAGATAACTATGCATACCGGTGAAGAAAGGAAATGGATATCAAAATATGAGCTTATTTTGTCATTGAAATGTGTCTTACTTGTAATTTGGGTTGTGTTTGAAAAAAACACCTTGTGTAACATGACTAACCGGCTAGAATAGTAGGGGATAAAGTAAAGAACACAACAATGGTCCTAAATTGAGTTCTCTTGATTGTGACAAGGGCTCGATGAAGACCTTTGTTAAAAGTGTAAATTATTGTAAGACCTTTTAAGATATTGTTCTTTCTGGAGAAATGTAACTCCGTTTTGCATCTGAAGAAGTTGTTTTTAACTTTTAGCTTGTATATTGATAATGCTTATTTTAATTTTGCAGATTCTGAAACCATCAGAGAAGAAAGCCAAGTATCAGTATCAGGGGATTAACTCTGGACGTCCCTCAACACCCCAGCGTAACCCCACTAAGAAGAAATAAACCGGTAACACACGTCATGTACTATGATAAAAACTTAAGATAATTTTACGCTGCGGAACCAACTAGAATGGTTCTTAGGCTTTATAGTAATATGAAGTTTATGAGTATTTTAGTAAAAATAACATTGCAATAACAAAAATAACTTCTTTGTTTGAAGTTAATTGTTGGTGATGGTGAGTTAATGTTGTTCAAAGGTTTATTTGTAGTGTATTCCAACTTAGGTTGGGCGTTTGTGTATTGTTAGTTCTAATGTGTTAGTTAAGTTTTTTTCACCTGAGAACGGGATCAGATTCCAGATCCCGAAACGTTGTGTATTGTTTTTTACATTCGTGATGGAAAATGTCCACAATAAACCTTTGAACAACAACAAAAATAAGCCAAGCCAATGTTTCAACTTTCTGATAATACTACTTTTTTGGGCCTACAATTAGATCACACTCTTAACTGGACAAAACATGTTGAGAAAGTATGTTTTAAAATTAATTCAAGCAATTTTGCATTGAGAAGACTGGCCCCTTTTTGAAATCTTTTTGACTCATTGAAATCAGTTTATTATTTGTTAATTCACTCACATATTCTTAATGGTATAGAGCTTTATGGCGCAACATCAATCTATCTATATATTAATAGGCAAGCATGTTTCTTTAAAACCTTTTTTCTCAGCTCGTGTGCATCGTGGGGTAAATCTACGCATACCGTTAGAAAGCTATTTTCCTGTAGGTGTGCAGAATCCCTTTATAAATTTAAATAGGCTCAAAGATAAGCACAAAAAATGAGTTTAAAAATTTGAAAAAATTAACATGGATCTTATGCGTTGCCATGCTGGTAACGAAATAACAACGAAATATAAACAGAAAATCAAAACAAATGGAAGAAACTTCAATCACATGTTTTATTTACAGTGTGGGGTGAAAATAGAGAAGTGAGTAAGTTTACATTACATATTTTTGGTCGAGTTTCGACCACTGGACGACCTCTAGTACTTATTTAATACGCAAGCATGATTTTTGTGACAATTACTCCTCCGAAACTACTGAACCGATTGACATGTTTTTGGTGTCATTGGAAAGAGCGTAACGTGAAGTTGTGCAGGAAACTTTCTTTTTAGGGAAATAATTAGAGAGTGAGGCCCTGGGGCCCTTTAAAGTTTCGTATTTCTTCATAAGATTAACATGGGAAACAAACATTGTTTTGAAACTTCAGCTGTTGTCAGCAATTAAATATTAAAATCGGTCTCCATGGAAGCATGAGAAAATTCACAATGTTTACATTTGCTTTGACATTTAAATGTAAACAACCAGAACCGTCAAATTTCACAATGTCAGACAGCTGGTCCAAAAAAATAAAACAACCAGGTGGTAGGTTTATTTAATCTTAAACTTTATGATGGATTATTTTTATAAATCTACTTCAATGATTATGAAACATATTTTTCCCGTTGCGAACCAAAAATTAAAAGTGAGAAGAAGAACATTTGTTAATTGTAAACAGTCAATGTGCAAATGATCTATGTTGTATTAAAAATGGGTATAGTTTTGGGTGTTGGTTTGTGTTTAATGATATAAGTTATTAATTATTGAATTTTTATTTTAATGATTTGGCATATGAGTATGCTTATGATAAATAACACCATTTCAGAGTCCTTCCTGATTTTGCCTAACTCTGTTCTGTAGAGTTTAAAGTAGCCTACACCTTATTGTCTACAAATTGTCTAAATAACTTAGGTACGGTACATTATAAAAGCTGACAGCCTTTTTACGTTGACTTAAATTGGTAGCTTACCCCGTCCATGGACAGTTTGATAGTTAAAAATTAACCCTTTAAACTGGAATAGGACTGTTATGTAAATTGTGAGTATTTCTATTAGTTAATAATCTTTTAGTCGACTCTTTTTTAAAAAATCGGAAATTATGACTGTTATTAGTTTTTAAACAAGTCATTTGTTTATAGATAGCTCCTGTACTTCTTTGCAATTGCTCGATTTCGAGCAACATGTACACTAGTTATTATTAATCTACAAAGAATCCTACATTTTCAAAAAGTTGCAATTTGGACTATGCTCAAGCTTTCTGATGAGGATCATTGTAGAGATCATTTTTGTAATCTGAAAATTATGACTGTCTTTAGTCTTTATATTTATAGAACAGTATTACATGTAAATACCCCCGCCGCAGCAAACCTGCAGACTAAGCGAATTTCAACTTGTCTGATTACATTTTTACTAAAATATTTCCATAAATAAGACGTATTTATTCCCAATTTAAATAACATTAGATTTAACCAGTGCTTAGGTTTGCTGCTACGGGGAAGGTAAAAAGTGTTTTTTGACCATATGTCAATAGTATAGAATGAAATAAATAAATTTGCCAAATTTTATCAACATATATCCATAAACAAGTAAACTACAACAGTTTTCATTTTCTCCATAAGAATAACATGGGAATTTTAAATTACACTTTTTTTGAATTTTCTCCGTGACCGTTAGGCATAAAACTGCACTTCAATATACTAAATTATTTCTTTTTTTAAGCTCTACAAAACGGTTAACAAAATGGTTGAGAAAGAAATTGCAACAATTTTTATTTTTAGGGTTAAAAATGGGGAAAACCCATTTTTACCCCATAAAACCCCCCATAAACCCCTGTTCCCATGGTCCGATTATACTGGTTCGCGAACTCGTTCGAATAAACGTAGGTTTACACGTTTGTGGTCCAAATTTCATCAAAATCGGATCATATTTGCTCGAGTTATCGCGCTAACGGACACATATTTAAAGATATATACCTATATAAATTTGAACCGATGGTGTTTTTGGCTTCTGGGGACCTCAAAACGAAAAAGTAAACCGGTCCCAAGTCTAGGTCTTACCATGAGACCTACGGTAATAGCTTATTTATTCCCTATATGGGAAATTCGCTAATATTTATTCCCTATATGGGAAACTCGTTAAAAATAACGAAGAGACTTTGCCAAGACAACAAAATGATCACACATATAATACATGAAATCGGGAAAATTTCCAATTAATATTTCAAACAAAAATCCAACTTTTTCTGGGATAAAATATTATAACTACCCTCCTGAAATCATAAAATCTGGAAAGAGTTTAAAATGCTTGGAAAGGAAATTTTTCTTTTCTTTTGAAAAGATTTCTTGCGGCCAAAGCGCTATACAGTTTTGAGGAATTTTTTAGTGTTTAAAATCATTTAAATAAATATTTATTTTATGTATATTTGTATAATGTATCATTTTTCTATCTAGTTATTAGACGATATAATGTATGATGTATTGTTCTGAACGCCATTCATGTATACTTTTGTATATCTGTGAATAAAGTATCTTTGAATTGAATTTGCCCGTGGCGGTCTTCACAACACCTACCGATCTTCAACAACATAAGGCCGATCTAATTGGCCCGGTTGTGGTAAAAGGGTTAAACAGTAAAATTTACTGAGGCAGCAGGCTGGTGTAGAGGTAGAACTTTACGTCTTTTCAAAATGAATATGCCACTTTGCTTTCCTATAAAATATATTATTTTCAGGGTTATTCACTTCATCTGTTTTGTTTCAGACCTAATGAAATGTCTACTGAGGGATCACAACAGCTAATCTGGCTTACCTGCTAAAGAAACTTGAATTTTACTTACTAAGAGGATTTCATTTTATTCATTGCACCTCTTAATAGATTTTTAAAACTAATTTTCATTTTTTATTCTCTAAAGCAAATCGTTACTTGTCTTGCTAACTTGTGTCGTTGATAAATAATTCTAAATAAAGCTATTTATCACTTGTTCAAAACTGACACAAGAATATTTAAGGCAAGTAATATTCAATGTGGTTTTTATTCCAAGTGTTAATAGTGCATTTTAATTTGTGTTTGTTAATTTAAGTAACGCAATGACTTCAAACCTCTTCTATATCTGTTACGTGTTTTGTCCATATATTTATCATAGCCATTTCATTTCCTTATCATCTGAATGTAGATTCTTTGTGTACATTGTTAAATAAGTTAAGTTTAAATAAAATGTTAAATTTTTCTCAGATGTAAAAATGTATCGAAATTGAGCAAGACGCCAAAGAGTGCAAAAATAAATATTTCTTTTATCATTATTGTAAATAATTTAACTAACTCGTGTGGAGATGTAAATTAGTATACGTATTATTTTGTTAATTTATTTTTATTCTTAATATTGTAAGTGGCGTTCTTCTGAGGAACTTGTAATAAATTTCACGGCACTAGCCGAGTTGAGTGAAAAGTTCCCCAATAACTAGATCTGTTAAGTTTTCAAAAGTATTTTTTTTTTCACTGAATTATCAAGACCTATGCCTTTGTTATTAGGTCAGAGTCAACAAACTTATTGTAATTGTTGCCTTCATTGTAAATAATATCCAATATGTCTAGCCATTCTTTGGTTTCTAATAAATATCAAGACAAAGCACCAATAAACAAAATAAATGTGTTTTATTGTAATACCTCTGTTGTCATTTGTACACTTTGGATAAGGTGTCATAAATTAATTTTTTAACTTATATCATGTAGTAACAACCTGTAATCCTAGAATTATTTTTTGTTAAATATACCAGTAAGATTGGGGAATCAAAAATATGGTAACAATGTAGGAATATAGTAGATTTAATGAGAAGGAATTGGTCACTCTACTTAGCATATATTTTTTCAGACGGAACTAGATTCCAAAAAGTTTTACTGCAAGCGAATGCTTATAGGGTGTAACGTGATTCCTTTAAATGAGTTTATTTTCTCTGACTAATAATTTATGGAGCCTTTAGATAAAGTATTAGTCCAATGAAAAATCACACATAATTTTCTTTAAAATTGTAATTGTTTCTAGAAATGTATAAGTGTGTTTCAGAAACTAAAATATTTACTTATATTCATTCACTATAATGGTTGTAGATAGTTTAAGGTTCCTTTTGTTTTCCCACAATAATTAAACCTAAAAAACTCATCCTGAATTTTTACTTTAAAATCTATTACTTAAAAGACTAAATAATTTCCTCAGTACTACTATTTCTTCTAAATAATACTTTAGAAGTTGGCATAAATTTACTTGTGATTCTCATTGTTGCTTTGATAATTTTTCTCTGTTGATGTTTTTGATGGTTGGTGTTAAGAGCTTCATTGTTACCTACAGTGGTTCTCAAAATGTCTCTAAACACGCAACTGACTGATCAAATTGACCAAAAAGTATTGAACTATAGTCTACTCCTTTTACAAAATATAGGCGGTTTTAAGGGAAGAAATCCTCCCCCCCCCCCCCATGTCTTGATCAGCCATTAAAACAGTACAAATGAGATGTCCATTGGTATATAAAATAAATAAATAAAAAAAGCTGAGATTTTCAAAACGTCAATCAGCTGCAACATACATTAAGCCAAAAAAGTAGTGGGGGAACTTCTGCTCACACCGCCTAAATTTTGTGAACGGATTGTAGGCCTGAAGTCAGAAATTGATGTATTTCAGTCACCACTGGCTTGTCTAAAAGACTTAACTCTAATGGTACTTTTTCTGTTACCTGAGAGATAAGTTCTGTTGTTGAGATTTTTATCATAAAAATATGTTTTAATCTGATCATCTAAAACCACTTGAGCTAACTAAAACATTAAAAAGTGTTTTTGCTACACCAAAACCATGCAGAACTGATCAACATTTTAGTATTAACATGCTTGAGATATCCTACATATTCATGTTTGTCTAGACATTTAAGAGAAGTTAAAAGAGAAATTTGTTGGCTTTTAGCATCAAGTGCTTCTCTTGAATGTTCATATCACTTGCATAGTATTGTTTTTCCTTAATTTACCAGGTCTTGAGTCACTTAAAATAATTTTCTGAGAGGGGATATCTGAGGTTGAAGATGTTGGATTTACACACATGTGGGAACCATTGTAGAATGTTACATAAACATTTCTAAATATTTTCACTAATTGATTTTTCATCGAATTTGAGACTCTTTAAAAGTGTTTTGGAAAACAAAAGAATTATTTTAATCCATCAGAAAATCAATTTCGCCTTGAGTTTCTGATTTAGCTATATATAAATGTAGACCGTTTATTCAGTCCATCCTATATAATACACTAACAATGGATTTAACAACTTTTATTTTCATATTACGTTAGTTATTTATTTGTGGCTGTTATTCCACTGCAATACTCTAGATGTAAATAAAAAATAACTAGGCCTATCGGTAATATCATGCAGTTTTCAACATTTGAATTGTTTCAAATATCTCTACACACTATTTTAATCAGTTTGTTTAGTGTTTTAAACATTGTTTACCAAGTAAAAATATTTATTTCAGTCAAATAGTCTTGCTTTTCTAAAGCACTTGTAACAATGTAAAATATTTAGTATCCAACTTAATACTGAAATAAAGTGTGTAGTTTAAAAATTCATTTTAATTTTTTATTATAAATACGGTGAGTAATTAATTAAATTGTAGTGTAAATGGAAAATAAAAAAATGTATTTTTTATTAATTGTCTTATTTTAATTCCTCACAAGTTGTAGCGAGTCATGGGCCATTGGACCCAAAGTCTCGGAGGGTGCTTTTCTGACCAGTAGCATAGATATCACAAAGGATTTAATTGAAATACATCCCCAAACTATAACTAGTAAATCGAGAACCGAAGAAAAAATGCTTTGTTAAGTTTTATGGACCTACCAAGATTAGCATTTTATTTCTATTTCGTATTCCGTACTATTCAGTATGAAGAACGAAGAGCACAGCTGTTGAAAGTGTCAAATGAGCTAGTGAGGTTTACAACAACCCTGATGTCTTATACCCACTCACTATCTCACTATTAGGGTAGCTTGTGCTCGGTAAGAAAATGCTGTCGTATAAAACAAACTTTTTAAATTACAGACATACGTAAAAGAACGTTGACATCTCACCTCGTAAGCAGAGCCTAAGAACCTAAGAGTGAGGTGGAGTAAGACGCATTGTTCACAGTCAAACAATTAATGTCTGGTTTCCCAAAGTAAGTTTTGCGAAATAATGAAACAAGTTACGAGTTACAGCCGTGGTTCTCTGTTGCCCTTAGGGTTTCTTTAATCATACTCCTACTTGATTGACAATTGATTTAAAGGTGTATTGTAAATGTAAGCATAGGATTGTCACAGATTGCTAGCTAGCAGTTAAATAACCTTGGTCACAAGATGGAGACTCGAGACTCCCAAAAGGACGACCCAAAACTTTTTTGTAGATGGGTCTGTATTGCACAAAATCGGAAGCCAAGAATAAATTCTTTAATACTCTCCATATCCCCAATTAGATGGTCATATTAGCAAAAACCCAATAGATGTTAGACATTTAGTTTAACATTTTGTGCTGATGTGTGGTAGATGGTACAGCTTTGCAGGTGAAATTATGGTTGGTAAAATTATTGGTGATGTGGTTGTTTGCATGGTTAAGGACTGCTGGTTTGTCCTTGTAGCCTATTCAACATCTTGTTGGTGTCTCTGACTGTTCACCTAAGTGAGTGCAAAGCCTGTTGGTGGGCAAGAGAGCAAATCCTTTCAACTCAGAACTCTCCTATTGGGGTACCAAATCTAGGAACCCCTTAAATCTTAACTTCAAATTCTAGTTATGTGTCAATCCCAACATATGTCAATTCTTGACACCAATACCTGAAAAATTGATTCTCGATACCATTTTTTTTTTAGTTTTACTGAATATTCTAAATGAAAAAAACTATTTTTGAGGTAATGGAGTGTTTTCAAGTAAAGAAAAAATATAATGCAGCAATTATAAATTCTAACTAAACAATTCAAGTTTTTAAACCATTCTAAACAACAACTTTTAAACTAAACGTATCTTGTGCAAGGTAAGTGAAGATCTATCAAAAAGAAAATTTTATTATAACTAGAGGTATGCCAGCCTGATATTTTTAGTCAAGTGGAGCCGAGGTAATATCAAGAATATCTCCTGCGGTCTTGGAGACATCATTGTTGTCTTCTGGGATCACTGCAAAATCCTGAATATCTTCCTCAGTCACGAAAACATTATCACTGTCGAGGCAAAATCTTAAATATCGCTCTGCAGTAACGGAAACATCATCGTCTCCCGCGATCACGGAAACATTATCAATGTCTCCCGAGATCGTGACAAAATCACGAATATCTCCCACAGTTATGTAGCATTATTATTGTCTTAGTCTTCAGCAATCGCGGAATAATTCATATAATATCTTGCAGTTGTATCATCATTATCTCCCCCAATCGCGGCAAAATTCTAATCATCTCACGCTGCCATGTGGACATCATTGTCTCCTGCAGTCACAGAAACAGTCTTGCGCAATCTTTGCAGAGGTCTCGGGGTATCGGAATCGACTTTATGATGATTGATTCTCAATACAGATGTCCAAGTATCGGTGGTATCGAGAATCAACAAGTGTCGAGAATCAACTAGTTCCTCCCAAAACCTTCTTTAAGCAGGCTCAACAACCAATGATTTAGTTACACTCCTTATATCGTGGTGACTTTGCATTCCTGAATAGTTAGCAGTACTGCATCCTACAACACCCTCTCCTTTCTTTGCAATTAATCAACATAATGGTCAGTGGCAATGAAATAGGCCTATTTCAATATGTATTTTACCTTGAGGAATCAGCCACTGAATACACAAGCATGCTCTTCCTATCAAAACCTGATCTACTTTGGGAGTTAGGTAGGCTATATTAGTTTCACCTCTGTTTGGTGCAGTCGAATACAACCAACACAAGTAGACTTCTCATCCCATGGTAAATTTTGAAACCCATTTTCGTATCTAGTTCATGTTGGTGACACTGATCGCTAGTGTTGACAAAATTTTGTTTCTATTATTTTAGAGTTAAAGGGAACAATCATTATTATCGATGATTTATTTTCGATATATCGATAGTTTTGTTTTACTTCACGATTGGTATTCCTTCTGTTTTAATATCTTCAAACGCATTTAAATTACAAATTAATAACTAACCTTGTCTAGGTAAAAATAATAGCCTATATATTGGATTAGGACATGAAACTATTCTAAACTAACCTAACATAACCAAACTTGCTGTATAGGCTAAGTTACCGTTTCAAAATTCCATTTGATAACAGAAAAGGCATATGGGGAATAGGCTATCAAACGGATTTTTGAAATGTTACAGCAAGTTTGGTTGGTTAGGTTAGTTTAGAACAGTTTCATTTCAATACCATTTTTTTTATTGTTTGTTGATACTGAACATATCGTACTTGTCAGCTGATATGTTTCAATTTGTTACTATCAATATATCGGATGGAAAACAAAACTATCGATATATCGAAAATAAATCATCGATAATAATGAATGTTCCCTTTAACAGGAAAGTACCCACATTTGTTACATGTTTTGTTACATATGTTATGTAATAGTATATTACGTTACTAGTCCTGAAAATAAGTGTTTACCGGACGAGTGTGGTCGTTCCCGTGCGAGACGAAGTCGAGTACGGGATTACCATACGAGTCCGGTACACACATTTTGGACGAGTTACGTACGATAGTTTACGCCATACTACTAAATCCGTACAAATCCTTATATATTTCCACCAACTAAAGGACTAAAAATCACTAGTCATAACGTTATGTTTTCGTTTATAACCACTCATTGCCACCTAAATACAGTATAATCAGCTGATTGGTGTCCGGTAAAACTCATTGCAGCACAGTAGTACGCAATGAAACCCCATTTGAATAAGCTGGCGGCAAACAGCTGTTTTCTGGACTAAATCCTTGCGTGGGAAGTTCATCAAAATAATGTAGTGTGGCGTAATAGCTATTGGGTCGCCGGATTTCTACCCCCGGATATTTACCCCCATGAAAAAATGCCTACGTCACTTTGACGTCACATGTATGGGGTAATTTTCCGGCCGCGAACTTTTAGGATGGATAAATTATTATTTATTCAATCAACTCGCATTTCACGGTTTACTTAACAGTTGTAATTAATCAAAATGCTAATAAACCTGACACCGGAACTTTACCCCCGGAAATCTACCCCCAGACATCTACCCCCGGACATCTACCCCCGGACATCTACCCCCAGACATGTACCCCCGGACATCTACCCCCGGATATCTACCCCCAGACATCTACCCCCGGAAATCTACCCCCAGAAATGTACCCCCAGTGGTCAAATCATAAATGTCCGACCACGGAATTCTACCCCCGGAAATCTACCCCCCGTGCTACACTACGTATCGGCCAATATTCATTGTTGTAGTTGATTTTAGTAATTGGTTTATAAAAATAATCAATGGCTCTTCGTTTAATAATTACCCTCTAATATCTAGTATTAAGCATGTGATATGTCGTTGTCTTGTTTAATGTCATCTATCTTCCCAATTCATTAAGCTGTAACTGATTTAGGTGTAATTTTTAAGCTTAAGATTCAGTGCAACGCAAATGGTAATTAAAATGATATTTTGATAAAGGGCTTCAAAAGTTTAACCCATAAGCATTTGATTTATTTTCAGACAGTGATTTAAATGGTTGACCAATTTTCACAGACACTAATAGCTAACAGCACATGTACGAGCGCAGATCGTGAAATTTTAAACATAACACTGAAGGAGGTTATTTCCGGATTACTAGTGGTAAAAAATGCAATTAAATGTTGATAAAAAGCCTGCCAGAGGTTGATTAATGAATTAATAATTTTTCACTATCAATTACCTTCTAGTAATACGAAATAGCATAATCCCTATGTCGTAGACACTATCCGGAGTTTTACATTGGCCAAAAAGTCTAGTTGCTTACACAAATAATTAATCGTAAAAAATAAAACATAAACATATTTTATGATTGGTTCTGGTTGTCAATGCTGGTTGTGAAATAACGGAGAATAATGTAAAAGAATAAAATTGGATATTTCGGGATAGGGAAGGTATTTTTACCTCATGGTTCTTTTGGGTTTACGAATTTATGTAAATGAAATTAGAGTTTAGTACGAACATTGCTCAAAATTATATATTTTTGGTCATTTTTACATTTCACACATTAAAGAAGCCAAAACAAGTCTTTATCTCAATTTCTGCTTTGTCTGTCAAGGCCCAGAAGGCATTTTACGTGGCCTTCTCCTCAAAACCTAGAGCATCGATCGTGATAGTCTTTTTGGATTCGGTGGATTGACACGAGTCTCTTAAGCCATTAAAATATGGCCTCACTACTTTTGAATTAAAATAAATTTTGTTCAAACCCCCAATTTTTTGCATTTTTGTCTAATTTACTCCTAATGTTTACCAGTAATTTATGAAATACTAATAATTTGTTTGGAGAATACGACATCTATGAAATAACGAACAGCTGTGAAAGGTGAAAAGTTGAAAAATTAAAAATGGTGGATATCAAAAAATGATATCCAAAAAAATAAAAAATAAAAAATAAAAATGATATATGGTGGGTCAAAAAGATAGTTTTTAACGCTTTTTTAACGTCTTTCTAATATAAAATTTACATGAAAGGCTTAGGGGTCAACCTTTTGAAGCCCTAATCAAAATATCCTTTTTAATTACCATTTTGCTCTGTGCAAGATCTTAAGCTTTAAAATGACACCTCAATCGTAACAATCGGCGAAATAGGTCGGGTGAAAAAGGACTGTTACAGCTTATTGAATTAGGAAAATAGATAATGTTAAACAAGACAATGACATATCGCCAACGATATAAACAACTCATGGTAGTTTTTACATCGTTGCATATCGCATGCTTTATACTGGATATTACAAGACAATGATTAACCGAAGAGCCGTTGATTTCCGAGGATAGAATTCCGGGGTCAGATATTTATGATTTAACCACTGGGGGTAGATGTCCGGGGGTAGATGTCTGGGGGTAGATGTCCGGGGGTAGATATCCGGGGGTAAATGTCTGGGGGTAGATATCCGGGGGTAAATGTCCGGGGGTAGATTTCCGGGGGTAGATGTCCGGGGGTAGATTTCCGTGCTATGGCAAATCACTTTATAATCAAACAATTACATGTTGATTATTCAATAATATATTGGGGGTAAATTTCCAGTCGCGGGCAGTTTCTCGACCGTGTATAGGCCCCGCCCCTCGTGACGTCAAAATGACGTAGGCGTTTTTTCATGGGGGTAAATATCCGGGGGTAGAAATCCGCTACCCCTAGCTATTTACCTTACAAGTGTAGTAAGAGCGTTTTTACATCACGCAGGTGAAGGTTGTGCAACGAGCGGAAGCGAGTTGCATAATTTACCTAAGTGATGTAAACACGCTCTTGCGTAACGTGTAACGTACAAGATTTTACCTGACCCGACATTATACAGGAGGTTACGAACAATATTAATAAACATCCATTTCACTCATCTTCTAACAGTAAACGTTCATTTACAAACAAAAAAAAGCTAGGTTAGGAAAATTCTTCAAAACATAACAATAAAATTCAAGAGCACAGCTGATTTCTAGCGTTGAACGTCTTTGGCTCCATAGAGGTATATTTTTTAAGTTAATCACTCAATGTTATTTAAATGGGTTTCATTACATCATCGAGTGAGTTTTTGATACTTTACATCACTCGAGAAGTAAGGAAGTTGTATACATCACGCTTGGGATAGGGAAGTTTAACATGGCGGGTTAGGTAAAATATAAAATTGGCTACAGAAAATGTTAAAATAAAGTTTAATGAATCTTAAAAGGATAAAGCATCAGTAATAATAAAAAACTTTGAAAAACAGGGAAAAAACCATAACAAGAACAAAGAATAATCAAGACTGCTTGGACTCACATTTTAGAGTTGAAAAATCCACATTCTGCAAAAACTCCTCGACTGAATAAAAAGCACGACTTTTAAGTCAATCTGACAATTTTGACCTATACAAATTAATGCTTTCCTGATTTCTAAAATATATTGGAAGTTTATTAAATAGTTTTATTTGCAAATAATTTATAACTTTTGATAAATCTTGTTAGCCTGGCTTGAGGAATATACAAATCTTTTGATTGTCTGGTGATATACCCATGGATTGAGTTGCAAGGAACAAATTTATTTAGATTCTCTTTAACGGAAACTAAATTGTTAAAAATAAAAATATTAGAGAGTGTCATGATTCTATTTTCAGCAAAAAAATGCTTTGTAACTAACCCTATCTGGAATTTAAAACATAATTTTGAGAGCCTTATTTTGCCATGTAAAGACGCTGTGAGCTCCTGAGCTATTACCCCACAGTATATTGCCATACAGCAAGTAAGTTTGAGTGAAATAAACTGTGGTAAACAAATAGAAGTGTTGGTTTAATAGGTTTAGAAACACAATTTTTAAGTTTTCTTATCAAACAACATACTCTTGACAATTTTGAAATGATATTATTGGTATGTATTTCCCAAGTGAGTTTAGAGTCTTTGGATATTCCAAGTAGTTTAACAGAAACAGCATTGTCTGCTTCAAAATCACGCAAAGTTAAACAAATTCTGTTTGATCAAGATTTATTTAAAGAAAATTACTTTCAAACCATAGCTTACCCAATTCAATGGCGTTTTCTATACAGTACTTTGGTTTGCAGAGTGAAAGTTGTCAGCTGATGAAATAAAGGTTGTGTCGTCAGCATATAAAATTGTTTTGTAAGGTATAGAGTTAGGCAAATCATTAACATAGAGGATAAACAAAACCGGACCCAGCACCGGCCCTTGAGGAACCCCAGCAATAAGGACCTCCTTAAAATTTGACCTATGTTTTCCTAAATTAACAAATTGTAGTCTTCCACAGAGGTATGATTTAAATTTAGTTCGTGTTCCACTATTCCATAAAATTCTAATTTCTACAAAAGAATCGTATGCAAGACCGAATCGAAGGCCTTACTGAGATCCAAAAGTGCCACACTAAGATACAATACAATACAATATTCTTTATTGTTAATTCGTTGAGAATTACAATAGTGTCAATACAATAGTGAATTGTACATGTTAATTTCCATAATTTTCATAACATTCCTTTATTGAGTAGAAGGTTCTTGCGGTTAGCCACTTCTTCAACTCCTGATGTAGCTTGTTGCCAGTCAGGTCTCTCAGGTAGTCAGGTAGATGGTTCCTCAGCTTGCAGCCGGTGTATGAAGGTTTTTTCTCCCAAAGAGTTGTTCGGTGAACTGGTAGTGCAAATTTGGAGCCATGACGGGTGTTGTAGGTCTTGGTTTCTTGGGGGGTTTATTTCATTCACATACTTTATGGTTTCAAGTATGTAGAGAGACACCACTGTGAGGATTCCTAGGTTTGCGAATGCTAGTCTGCAGGTCTGTGGTGGGACAAGGTTGGCGAGGGCTCTTATGGCTTTCTTTTGAAGGACAAGAATTTGATTCATATTTTTTGTTGAAGTTCCTCCCCACACTGTCAAGCCATATCTAAGATGCGACTCTACCAGTGCGAAGTAAGCTGTTTTGGCCACAGAGAGCCCGCCTATGTAGTTTATTCTTCTGACGACGACATATATTCCAGTACTGATTTTTTTGCTTAGGTGGTTGATGTGCTCTTTCCATGTTAGTTTGTTATCAAGGATAACACCGAGAAATTTTATGTGGTTTTCTATTGTTACATCCTCTAATCGAGGGACTATGTCTTTTTTCTTACTGAAATTCAGAGTTGTAGTTTTTGTGGGGTTTATTACTAAGTCATTGTTCTTTGAGTAGAGGATAGCTTTATTTTATTTAAGATCGATTTTGAATTAAGGTAAAGGCTTTGGGCTGTGTTGTCCTTGATCAAAATGGTTGTGTCATCTGCATACATGATTGCAACAGCATTTTCACTCTCAATTTGTCTGGGGAAGTCATTAGTCAATAAGATGAATAGAATCGGGCCTAATACAGAGCCTTGTGGAACTCCTCTTGTCAGCTTGCTTTTTGAAGATTTGAAACTTTCTGTGACTTCATTTGATGAGTTTTTCAGTTCCACGACTTGTGAACTTCCCGTTAGGTAGCTTTTGAACCATTCTAGCGCAGAGTTTCTTATACCGAGTCTTTTGAGTTTCTTGCATATTAGGTCGTGGCCCAGGCACTCATAAGCCTTACTGTAGATCTTAGATAACCACCAGATTCAAAACTTTCCCGGTTTGAAACCAAATTGGTTATTGTTTAAAATATTATTTAAGTTAAGAAAATCAAACATCTGGGCTTTAGCACAGGATTCAACTATTTTTGAAAACACTGGAACCATTGAAATTGGTCTATAATTTGAAATAAACTAACAATAAAATTGACAAAACAGGCTAATATAGCAATTATTGTCTTCAGCTGATCCATTAGGGTGAGAAATCTACCAATGGAGTACAGTAGACTCCCTCTTACCCAGACTCCTCGGGATCGAGGCCAGTCCGGATAACGGGTTTTCTGGTTAAACCGACATGACTAAAAACTCGTTTACTGTGATATTCAACTTAAATTTAGGAGAGCATAGTATTTAGACCCGTGATCACTGGTCTCAAATCTTTCCCACGAGAAGTCATTTCATTACCGCCCACTTCCTGCCGATATAGTCCGGTTAAACCAATGTGCTGATAACAATTTTCTAGTTCAAGAGATCTCACTTCCGCCCAGTGTAGTCCGGTAAGAGGGAGTCTACTGTATGTTGTTTTATCAATGGTAGTTCTTTGTGTTGGTATGTTAAAGCAAGGCCATGTTAATTAAATTATTATTGTTACCTTACAATATCCGTACAATACAGTCGCCGCCGGCCCGACCAAACGCGTGCACGCACCGTGACGGTACCAAAGTAAATGTTATGTGTTTTTCTACGTGTGTTCTATGTTTTATATTTTAAATTGATGACGAATCTGAGAAGAGGATACCTGAGGATGTGGCAGTCGCCACGAAACATGTAGTTGTTTACCTACCAACACTAAACGGATATTGTAAGGTAACAATAATAATTTAATTAATATAAAGCAATATCCAGAAGTAGGACAATGAATTCCAAGGCCATGTCCTTAGACAGACACACATGGGTGAAAGCTTGTATTTATTACACATTAAGCTACAATATGAAATCCTCGATATCATTCTCTATATTTTATTCATTGTAATTTTTATCTTTTCCTTCGTTCGTAAGGTAGGAATGTTTTTGATGAGAGCCCAACATACAGAGATAATGGATTTTACACCGTACAGCGTCCACAATGAGGCAGCTCCATTTTTAGTGACATTGGCTGGCTTTCCTTTTGGTATTATGATGACACAGCACAACATCCTTGTCTTAAAATATGCACAAAGATTAAAAGATCTATGTGATCAATCAACCCCTTTCTACTAACAGAACAACCTACAAATCATGCCATGGCCTACCAAACAACCTTACAACTTAAAAAGATTTAAGGAGGAAATAAAACAAAACAAAATCCATAATAAATCCTCAAATGAGTATATATTTATTTTTAGTGGCCATTCACAAATAAATTAGATACCTAACATTAAGGACAAAATGCAAAACAGGAGAAAAGGTATAAAAAACAATCAGTCATTGGTAAACAAGACATATCGATTTATTTACTTAAATATTTTGCCCTGGTTGAATTCCCGGCCAGCCTTATCTTTGCCTGTCCATGAGAAGTATTGTTGGACGAGTTGCTTGGTGTCTGCTGAGGTAGCGTCCAGCTTCTTCCAGTCATACGACTCAAAGTCAATTTGCCAGTCAGGGCTCAACTAAAACAGAAGGGATTGTTTAACATTTTGTCAAGCGGATTTTTCTATGTTTGAAGTTCTGTATTTGTAATTTGTAATGGTGAGCAGGCCTAGTTGATGTTCTGAGAAAATACTGCAGGCCAAGAATAGATCATGATACAAGGCTAGAGAAATAGAATTGTCAAACTATGAGTAAAGTTACAATGGGGGTGAGTTAGAATGAAGGGATTAAAGAGTCCTTGGAGGCTAGCGTCCATCTTGGATGGTTTTGAACAGCCAAAAGGGTTATAATTTAACTATCTAGGGCAATGTAAGATAAGAAATTTTTATGTAGTTTTGAATTGTTTTCCTTGGGAGTCCAGGGAAGTTAACGGCCATCCTGGATTTGCCCGCTAAAAGGTTAATGATAGTTTTAAAAAGCCGCTGAAGAATTATTTACCATCTCAAAGTATTTTTTCAAACACCAAAGTTATTGTAATTTTAATATTATATAAGATACTGAAGGATTACAAATTTTCTTTGTAGTTTTTTTAGTTAAAACGTCTAGGCTCCAAGGACTCGTTAATACAACCTGGGAGGGAGAGTAGAAATAGAAAATGCAAGAAGAGAGAATTCCTTAAAAATACATTATTGGTGATATATGGAAGTAAACAAATGGGGTGGATTGAAGAGGGACGTGGGTAAGAGATGAGCGAGCAGATGGAGGAAGAGGAATTGAGAGGCATAGAAGACAGAGGTCAACCCCTAGACCTCGAATAGTAGGGGTCTATGTATTATCTCTTGCGGTTAGTAATAGGTATCAAATATTTTTACAATTATCTTTGGGTATATGGAATCTAATCATGTGTCACTACAAATTAGTTAACTGTCAAACAGGAGATAGAAATTAAAAGAAAATGGTTATGGGACAGTTTGTGGACTATTTTCCCTCATTTTGTAGAACGGCTGAACACAAAAATATTAATTGAAACTTTTAAAACAATAGAAGAGTTTTTATTCTAGACTACCTCTATATAAGAGACAGATTTTTATTGGATTTTTAATTTAATAAATCTTAAAAGAAACTGACAAGAGAAGATCAATAATTACCTCAAATGCGAGACCCTGGCCTCTCCAGACCCAGATTCCTGAGATGGTGCTGTCATCATCTTTTCCAAACAGACAGACCGAGGCAAAGGCCTGCTTCCTCATCTTGTCTAATCTCTGGAACATACCTGCAGAAAACATATCATGTCGATAAATCTCTCATGTTTTTATAAACATTTTATAAATATACCATAGTATATGGAGAAAGTAGCCTATTGTTTTTGTCAAAAGTTTTTGGGTTTTAGTTTTGTGTGGATATATCCGTTTTGGGCCCCCCCTGGACCCAAAAAAGTGGTTTTCAAAGTGATGTCTGTGTGTGTGGATGTGTACAGAGCTACAGACCACACTTGTGTCTTCGATTTTGATGAAATTTGGTATGTAGGTACTAAATCCATGGTATCTCCAGGTGTTTTTTTATCACTTTTTAAATATTTTGATTTTTAATGGTGATTTTCCCATAAAACCCATAAAATAACGGGGAAAAAACGGATTTTCTCAAAAACGGCCAGAACGATTTTGATAAAAACTTTAGTATGTTATAGCCTTTTAAATTTTGAACAAAATTGTATCACTTCCATAGCTGTAAAAATTATTGTTCAAAAGTTATTGTAAAGTATGCTATTTCCCATAAAAAAAACCCTCACAAAATAAGGAAAAATCGGATTTTTGAAAAAGTGCCGGTTTTGATTAAAATTCGTATGTTATGGCATTGACTATATAACACTACTAGATTGAAGACTATGCGGGAGGACGCGTGAACAGGAAATTTCTACAATGTACTGTGTTGTGCACGGTGGATGCACGTAGTACTGACCCCTCTACTTAGATCGCAGCACCGTCACCACGAAGTTCATGGAACCGTCGCCTGGCGCGCTGCAGTTGCTGCCAACTGGACTGGACTGAGCTTAGCGGCGGACTAGACTAGACTAAACTGTTGGACTAGACTCGGCGATGCGGAGCGGAGTGAACGATTGCCCGCGCTCGCGATGTACTCGGCGGCGGCGGTGCAGCTGTGTGAATGAGATGTAGGTCATTGCTCCTGATGTAGTAGGCTACTGCTGCGCGCGCGATACCGCGTTTTGTTTACTCATTTGCACGTACCGTCCGTATGCTTGGTACGGTACGAGTTTATTCAGGAGGGTATAGCAAATCTTTGACAACTTATTTTTAATTTCTCCCCATATTAGTTAGTACATGGATAAAGTATTGTTTACCCCAAAATTTTCGAGTATGAGTTTTGAGTGGATATATCCACTAAATTCATGTCTGAAATCACCGAACGATTTTGAAAAAAATAGTACTGTAGTATGTTGTAACTTAGAACAAAATAGTACAACTCCAATTTCTGTAAAAATTACGGTTAAAATTCCATTGTAAATTATGGTATTTCAACAAAATATCCCTTAATACAAGAACAAATTTTAATTTCTAAAGAAAACCCCTGTTTTGATTGAATTAAGTACTCGTATGTGATAATCCTTTTTAGCGAATTTCCCTATAGGGAAGTAGCTATTACCGTAGGTCTCATGGTAAGACTTAGGCCCGGGACCGATTTACTTTTTCATTTTGATGTCCCCAGAGGCCAAAAACACCATTCGTTCAAATTTTTATATATGTATATATATATATATATATATATATAGATTTATATATATATGTGTCCGTGAACACGATAACTTGAGTAATTTTTATCCGATTTTGATGAAATTTGGTTTGAAGGTGTAAGGCGGGATAAACTTGAATGAGTTCGCGATCCAGCATGATCGGACCATGGGAACAGGATTTTATAGGGGGTTTTATGGGGTAAAAATTGGTTTTTCTCACTTTTGACCCTCAAAACACAAAATTTTCAAATTTTTCTCTAAACCTTCTTAAAGAGCTTAAAAAAACAAACAATTCAGTATATCAAAGTGTTTTTGTACGGTTATTGGTTACGGAGAAAACTAAAACAAAATTTAAATTTAAAATTCCCATGTTATTCTTATGGAGAATATTGTAAAATGTTGTAGTTTGCTTGTTTATGGATATCTTTTGATCAAACTTGGCAAATATATTCATTTTATACTAAGCAATAATTGTTTTACTTAAAACACACACTTTATTAGTTTCCTTGTAGCAGCAAACCTAGGTACTCGTTAAACCTAATGTTATTTAAATAGATCAATTGAAAATCAATTCAGCCAAATGGAAATTCGCTTAGACGGCAGGTTTGCTGCGGCGGGGGTATTATTCTTAACAACATCTAGTGCAGCCCCATATTCCGGTAAAAACTACGGTTCAAAAGTTCTTGAAACTTATGTTATTTTCCCATAAAACTATGACAAAACCGAGAAATGGATTTTTGAAAAAGAAAAATCAATTCTGATTGAAATTCTTCTGTGATGGTCCTTATAATTCTAAAGCAAATAGTGCAAAATGTATTCATTCTAAAAATGATCATCGTAAAAATCTTTAACAATAACAACGCTTAGTGAAGGTTAGTAATTTCTTTACTCCAAACACATAATCGAAAGATAAAATTGAATTAACAGAAAAATGATTTCTTATTTGCTTATGTACAGTACAAAGAAAACTTGTTGAGTCCAAACTGTTGTTTGGATCTCCCAGACTGTAAAACACCCCCGCTGCATAGTCAATGCCTACAGGGACGTGACCGCGAGGATATCTCGGCTTTTGTAAGCTGGGGTACGGTGAAAGTGTACGATCCCTCGTTTATGACCCTATGATTTAGCAAATGAAGACCCCACATCGGCAGCTACAGACAACCCAATGTATAAAAATATAAAACACCCTGGTCAAAAATTTTGTTCTGCTGCATACAAATAAATGTTTTTTTAATGCGTTAAAAGAAAATATACTCCTGCATACGCTGGGGTTCTCGTTATCTGGTTTGAAAAATAATGTGACAAATCTGCATTGCAAAATAATTCAGGCATTTTGCATTACACTTTTTACAAAGTGATGTGATACTTAAATTGAAATAGTGGTAAATGAAATTTAAAAAAATTGTGTAAAAATAGTATTTATTACGTATAACCATGAATATAATGAGTGTAAATAGTAATGAAAAAGTATAAATAATAACATGCACAAAGAACAAAGCACATATCTACAGTTAATAAAGAATAATTTAAATCGCGAATATAGTTTATATTGTAGACGATTTTTTATATTTTAGGCACTGAGGAGGTTAGTTGAATTGGCTTATAGTTTTTAAATAATTATATTAAAAATACTATGCATTTGTGTTTATTTAATTAAATTAAATGTGTTACCTAAAATGAAATATGTGAATCATTTTTTAAATAAAGCCCATAAAGTTTAATACTTATACTGTACCTCTGAAAGATAACTGAGACTTATAAAAAACAAAAAAAAAAAAAAAACAAATACAGGTCTTGCCGCGGTAAGAAAACGTAAAGTACAAATTATTGGATGTGTTTAGATGTGTGTTAAAACTTTAAAAGTAAACAAATTTTACTTAATAGCGTAGTTTTTCAAAGTGCATTCATTGAGATATAGTACGATATAAGTTGTATTTCAATATAATATTACAAGAAGTAACATTATCAACACAATTATTGTTAATTGGCCACAATCACATAACATACATTCATATCACATAACATAATTCTATCTCTGAAATCACCAAACAAAGGATATTGTTTAGGTAATGAACTTCAATTATGTATGAAACACACTTGTGATATAATAAATCACCATGTTGGGGGTGAAGGTCGTTTGTAATTAATTGTTTGTAATATATTCCCGCTGGTAAAAAATTCAAATACCCATTTTGGTTATTTTTTCCCATTGATTTGTGAACATTTATAAACATATAGTATTATAAAAGGCTGTGTATTTTGAAGGCTATTTCAATTATACGTTAAGCAGTGTAAATTTGATATCACAATATCAAAATCGTCCAAAACACAGAAACTTTGTACAGGTCCCTACTGGTTTCGTAAACAAATATTCACAAGACTATTGTTACACCATTATTATTATTTGAACTTCATCAATGTTTCTTGTGTTTTGGGATACTCAACGTTTCTGGAGTTGGATCAACTCCTACCGTTTAAAGTAATAATAATTAACATTTAGCTTGCAGTATTATTTTTTTTTAAAGTCCGTATAATAATAGTAACACGTTTTAGAACCAAATTAATTATGATATTTTCCCCACTACACAGTTTTAATAGACTTTCCACGTACGACATTTGTCCAAGTAAGGGTAGTTAATAAACCTAAAACGTTCATAGGTCTTCATATTGACTACATCGGTTTAACATTTTTAGCGGTTGCAAAAAATGGATGTGATATAGTGGAGACTGACTCTCACCACCACGTTTTATAATACTGTAGTATAGATACATATTTTTTAATGAGAAAGGATAGAGTTCTGGTCTCTGGGGACATCGAAACGAAAAAGTAAATCGATCACAGGCTGAGCCCTATGGCGATAGTTTATTATAAATATAAAATTGGCCGATAACGGAACTAAAGGACGTGTAACAGTTATATCACACTTATAAATTAAAACTGAGGCTTACCATAGGCCTATCAAATATTTAACCCCGTTTTACAGCAGCAATGTCTCATATAGGGTGCGCCAAAATAACCTGACGTTTTTTAATACTAAATAACTCAAGAACAAAATAAAATTTTATGTATTAAATAATGTTATATTGTACGCACTACTATGCCATTTTCATTTATGAAAAATTATACCTCTTAGGTGATGACATTCTCCTAAACGCAGGCTTCCCATTTATTTTTTGCATATTCGCGGTCACCTTCGCCTGAGGAATAGAAGCAATCTCTTCCCGGACCCACTGCTTGAGTTCAGGGATGGTTCGAAATTTTGAAACAAACACTTTGCTTTTTAAGTATCCGCACAGCCAAAAGTCACACGAAATTAGTCTGGGGAACGAGCTGACCACGGCACATCACCAAACCAAAAGATCACTTTACCGGTTAAGAGTTCACGCAAACTGTCATTGAATAATTGTCTGTATGACAAGTTGCACCGTCCTGTTGAAACCATGGTTGGTCATGGTCATGTCTATCCCTCCTAACATTCTTAGTTGTGGAACCAAAAAGACCCTCAATATTTCAACATAGCGTT